ATGATCATGGGGATGTGACAAAGGTTATGGAACTGCGAAAAAATGGTCATAAGTCACATTTCTCAGTGCCGTCGTAACTTTGAACCGTCACTGAATGAACTGTTGTAAGTCGAGGACTACCTGTATATGTAGTATGTATCATAAGCAGCAGAGTTTGGTGTCTTAGCGTAGCTTAATTCTTCTAACGGACCCTTCAGGATGACTCCAGATTGAACATCTTGGTAACATCTCAGCTAAAACATTTCCTCTTCATTCTTCCCCAGGTCAGTTCTTGCAGGAGCCAGACGTGCTCATCTACAATGAGAGACCAGGACAAGATCCCGGGAAATCTGATGCCACCATGGAAGTGAAAGGCCACAAGCTGACCGTCACGCGGTAGGGCATCGGAGGCACCGAGAAAGCTGGCTTTCTATGGTTGCCGTTTGTGTGTCTGTGTGTTGGGAAACTGAACTCCCGGAGAAGATTGTTGAAAGAGTTTAGCAGAATCTGGATAGACATTGAAATTATGGTGGATTTTATTATGTATGTATGTATATATGTAGGTATGTACTGCATGTATGCATGCATGCATGTATGTTGTCAGTCAGTCAGTCAGTCAGTCAGTCAGTCAGTCATCTGAAAAATAGTGAGTGGCCCAAAGACACCCAGCCGACTTTCATGTCTAAGGCAGGACTAGAACTCCCAGTCTCCTGTTGGTTGGCCCAAAGTCACCCAGCTGGCTTTCATGGCTAAAGCGGGACTAGAACTCCCAGTCTCCTGGTGATTGGCCCAAAATTCACCCAGCTGGCTTTCATGTCTAAGGCTGGACTAGAACTCCCAGTCTCCTGGTGGTTGGCCCAAAGTCATCCAGCTGGCTTTCATGTCTAAAGCGGGACTAGAACTCCTGGTGATTGGCCCAAAGTCACCCAGCTGGCTTTCATGGCTAAAGCGGGACTAGAACTCCCAGTTTCCTGGTGATTGGCCCAAAGTCACCCAGTTGGCTTTTATGTCTAAGGCAGGACTAAAACTCCCAGTCTCCTGGTGGTTGGCCCAAAGTCACTCAGCTGGCTTTCATGGTAAAGCGGGACTAGAACTCCCGGTCTCCTGGTGATTGGCCCAAAAGTGACCCAGCTGGCTTTCATGTCTAAGGCTGGATTAGAACTCCCAGTCTCCCAGTTTCTAGCCTGGTGCCTTAACCGCTAGACCTGGGATGGCGAATGTAGGGCATGCGTGCATCAGGTGGCACGTGGAGCCATTTGTCAGGGCACGCAAGGCGTTGCCCTGTCAGTTGGCCAGCACGCATGCACGCGCTCACCAACTGACTTTAACCTTTTTTTGAGGCCGTTTTTCGCCCTCCCCAGGCTCCAGAGGCTTTATAGGAGCCTGGGGAGGGCGAAAACAGCCTTCCCCCTCCCCCCGAGGCCCTCTGGAGGCTTCAGGAGCTTCCCTGAAGCCTCCGGAGCGCAAAAAACCAGCCTTACGGCTAAACCGGAAGTTCAGGAACGAACTTCCGGTTTGCTTGTAGGGCCGGTTTAAGCCTTCCGGAGCCTTCAGGGACCTTCCGGAGGCTTCCCTTTAAAGGCCCTTGAGGACCAAAAGCGGCCCAATGGACAAACTGGAAGTGACCCTCTGAGGAGGGGGCAGGGGATGATGTTTTCGTCCTCCCCAGGCTCCAATAAAGCCTCTCGAGCCTGGGGAGGGCGAAAAAAGCATGCAAAAAATGGGGGGTGGCACATTGCATTATGGGTGCGGCACATCCGCGCACGCCTCCCCCCCTGTGCCCCCCCCCCCCCCGGTTTTTGGCACGCAAACCAAAACAGTTTCGCCATCGCTGCACTAGACCAATCTGGCTTTCTTCAAGATACTTCAAAAACAAAAACAGCAGATGAGCCTCTAGGCTAGCTATGTTTGGGGGGGAAAGAATGAAAACCAGTTGCTAATCGCTTGTGGCCTCACGCCAACCCTTCCACGTGACTCCAGAGGCCTTTCTCAACCTTGGCAAAGTTTTCTGGGAGTTGAAGTCCACGCAGGTTAAAATTGCCACGGTTGAGAAGCGTTGGTTTAGGCCCAGCCTAAAATTACGTACATAATGATGATGTCTGCTTATTTGCCTTTGCCTGCAGAGGCCTGCAAAAGGATTATCGCTCGGACCGGGTGTTTGGGACCAACGTCCAGTGTTGGTTTGTCCATAACAACGGCAAAGGGTTCCTGGATGGCCACTACCGAGATTACCTGGTCCCTCATTTATACAGCTACCTGAAGCGCATCTGAAGGCTCGGCAGGGCAAGGGAACTCTCCGAATGGCCACGCAACTCATCCTGTAGCAAATTCACAGCCTTTGGGAAGGGCTTCGTGGCGGGCTGCTCCAGCCTAATACTGCACACATTCCTTTTCCACCACCATCCCCCCTCCCCCCCCCAAAATTATCCTCTCCAGGGGTATTTGGACTTTGTGTCACTGGGACTGCTTGTGGTGAACGCAAACCAAAAATCCCACTTTCGAGCAAAGTTGCATTTGGAAGCAAATGTGACCCCAAGGGTGCTGGAGAAACACAGAAAGTTTGTTTATTTTTCTCGACTGTATAAAGACCGTGTAGCCAAACGGAATTAAAGTAGTAAATTCCCCCCCTCCACCCCGCTTGGGTATTGTATTCTGTTCCATTTGTCTTAATGCGCCTGAGAAGTTTTCAAACAAGGTCTTAAGCCAGGAGTCTCTAACCTCGACAACTTTTTTTAACACCTGGGGACTTCAATTCCCAGAATTCCCCAGCCGGGAATACTGCTTGGAATACTGGCATGTAACTGAGCTAGTTGAAAGTCGTAAGAAGACAGCTGGGATGACAATAAAGGAGGGCTCAGTATTGTACCGTTAAATAATATACCGTATTTTTCGGAGTATAAGACGCACCAAGGTTTTGAAGAGGCAAAAATAAAAATAAAAAGGTTTTGTA